GCTGTACAGAAATTACCACCAGACACGCTCTTGGCCCACATCATAACGTTACAGAAACCAGGGAAGCCTCCCACCATCCCACAAAATTTCAGACCCATATCCCTGCTTAACACCGATGCGAAAATATTTGCCAAACTATATGCGATGAGATTGAGCAGTCTCCTACCTCAGATAATCCACAAAGACCAAGTTGGGTTTGTGTTAGGGAGACAGGGAGCGGACAACACACGCAAGGTCCTGAATATACTGCACAGTTTACCCAAACTACACAAGGGGGGAGGGATTGTCATCTCCCTAGATGCCGAAAAGGCATTTGACCGCCTGCACTGGGGGTTCCTGGAGGCAGTCCTGACAAAATTTGGAATACCAGGAGAATTTAGAGCCGCGGTCAAAGCGTTATATAGCACTCCGACAGCCCAGGTACTTAACGCAGGTTTTCTTTCTAACCCGTTTAGTATCTCAAACGGCACGAGACAGGGATGTCCCCTGTCTCCCTTGTTATACGTTCTGGCCTTAGAGCCACTGGCAATAAAGATTAGGCAACATGACTCTATCCACGGGGTACAGATTGGGGAAAAGGAATATAAAGCCAACTTATTCACGGATGACGTGCTCCTGACCCTAACACAACCACTGATTTCACTGCCAAACCTACTGACTGTCATAAAAGAATATGGAGACAGCTCCTATTACAAACTAAATGTGACAAAAACTCAGGCCATGGGGATTGGGATGTCTGATGCCGTCCTACAGGTATTGCGGGAAAAGTTCGTAATGGACTGGAGGACGGACAGCGTCTCTTTCCTGGGACTTCAATTAACAAAGACAATGGGGGGACTATTTAAGGCCAACTACGAAGCCCTACAAAAAGAGATAGAGGCCAGTTTGGCCTCATGGGGAGATAAATACCTCTCCTGGCTGGGCAGGATGGCAGCATTTAAAATGTCTATCCTCCCCAAATTACAATACTTATTTCGAACTCTGCAAATCAATCTTCCAACCTCCTACTTAACCAAAACACAGGCGATACTTACTAAATTCGTATGGGCACGTAAACGAGTGAGAATAGCTGCCAAACACCTGTATAGACCCACTCACCAAGGGGGTCTAGCCCTACCAAATATCAAAATCTATTATCAGGCGTCGTTACTAGCCCCAGTGCTAGGGTTCCAATCCCCAACACAGGTCCCGCAATGGCTGGAAATAGAAAACCATTGGCTTCAAGGGACGGACCTCCGCAGCTTGTTGTGGGTACCTAAAACACTACGCTCCCACCAACCCAATATATTACCCACCACGAAAACATTACTGAGGACTTGGGACAGAACACACAAATCACTGCTCTCTGCGACACCGTGGTCACCGGCAACACCTCTATCATGCTTACATGTAGCAAACAACACATTTGACCATAGGGAATGGACGAGGAGAGGCTGCACACATGTGAGGGACTTACTGGAAGAACAACAGATAGTCCCATTCCCCATCATTAAAGAGAGATTCGAACTGCCCCCCAGATCGATATTCCCGTATCTTCAACTAAAATCCATGCTAGGGGCCCAAAAGTCCACAGTAGAGGGGGAGACCACACTCACGGAGTTTGAAAGGACTTGTTTAAACCCAAAGCAGAAGAGGGGCCTGATCTCCCTGTGCTACACACTCCTAAATAGAGGCGATCCCGTACACAAAGACAGATTTAGTACAGCGTGGCAGGCAGACATTGGGAAGCACTTCGAGGACACCCAATGGAGACGCGCCACCACGGCACACAAAGGAAGGACCACATGCACGTCCCATCTAGAATTAATGCGCAAGGTATATTACAGGTGGTACATGGTGCCAGTAAAACTGGCAAAAATTTACCCAGGAACCTCAGCCGAGTGCTGGAGATGTGGGGAACCAGAAGGTTCGATGTATCACATATGGTGGACGTGTGAAACACTTAGACCTTATTGGGAGATGGTTGAAAGGTTACTTAATGAGATACTAGAGGATAATATTACACTCACCCCAGAAATGGGCCTACTGTTCATGAACATAGATAGATTCCAGGGCAGTGAGACAATTCTAGTCTTTCACATCCTAATAGCGACACTGACTCTTATAGCCAGAGAATGGAAGTCAGACAAGGCACTGACGAAAATAGCCCTAACGAGACAGATCTCGAACTCACAGCCAGGAAAAATTCAGGTAACAAGCGCAAGTTTGAGGAAGCGTACAGTAGGTGGGAGGACAAAACCGCGCCCCAGGGAATAGGAGACAGAGACGGAGACTAGCCCACTGTCACAGACCCAGCCCGACATGTAGAATTTACATAGCAAGCGTACAAGAATCCCTCAAGACAGAGGTGAGCCCAGGGACTTGGAACCCCAGGGGAAGAGCGAGAACAGACAGGAATCACCGGAAACACCAGAGAAGGGCAGGGAAACGATATGAATATAGCGAGTATAGAATAGAGCAAAACCGGTGGGGAAAGAGGGCATATCACAGTCTTTCCCCTCCCTAAACCCCCCCCCCACAGCCCACTTCCTCCCCCCCCTACGCAGGGAACGGCAAGCTAGTTCAAGGGCAAACTTCCAGAGAGTACAAGAGGTCGCTTCAGGGAAACCTAAACAGAGATGATAGATAGCGGGGCGACTAAGCAGGCCCCTAAGCAGAGACAGGATGACGTGGCGAATGCAGACAAAGGGCGGGCTAGCCCGCTGTGAAACAGAGAAATGTAGGCGAAGTCACATAGGAAGCTACATAAGATGCTACATGTGATGCTGCATATGATGTTATACACGATGTTATGTACTATGTTAAACTGGAAGTCATGTAAAACGAGATGTGGGATGTTCCCCCCCCCCCCCCCCTTTCTTCCTTCTGTATCCCAAGTTTGCTTCGTAAGTGAAAATAAAAATTGTCAAATTGAAAAAAAAAAAAAAATGTCAAATTGTATCATTATTGGGACAATTACAAACAAAGGCAATGTCCAAGCAGAATATGTCCAAACAGAAATAACCACTGAACAAAATGCACTCTGTGTCACTCTATTTATGTACACAGGCTCTTTTATGTACAAGTGTGTGTCTACATAAACATTGATATAAAACAATGGCATTTAGCTATATTGTAACCTTCAAAGTGGCACCATATTTTATTTTTCTCTATTGGTTCTTTTTTCCATATGCCCGGGTTTCTAATTAATTATACACCTACTATTGCCACTTGCCTTTGTTTATATTTATTATATTTTCTTCTTTGTACTGGATCTCAATATTCGGGTATTCTTCTCTGTCCATAATGTCTTTGGTTTGCCTTATATGGGATGTTAAAGCAGCTCTGTCACACCCATAACAAAAATTTGTATTTCATAAAGATCAATTTTTATAAAATACTCAGATTGACTGCGTCGGAAATTCACTGAAATTCAAACATAGTCAAAAGGATATACTGAGACAAAGTATGGATGCATTTTCCCCCTGCTTGACAAAAGGGGAAGTTACTTTTTGTCAAGCTTGTTATTTCCACCAGCCATCCTGAGTGACCGCTGTAGGGGAGAAAAAAAGCTCTTTCTAAGTAGGATCCAGTGGTTTTGCAGACCCTCGATAGACTTTAAAGCTGTACTCTCGTGCATGTGTGAGCGTACAGCGCCGATGTCAGCTCCTAGCAGGTGGAGGCCCAGACAGAAAAGGATGGTACAAGCACAAGGGACAGGGTCAGGGAAGTAAATCTCACCTTTCCCTGCCCCTATAGCCACCGAGACGGTGACAGAGCCTATTTAATGATGGACTGTGCGTTAATAGTGGATGAATAGTGAAGTTAAATGTCATTTTATATGAAGGACAGGGCCGGATTAACATAGGGGCTGATGGAGCTGCAGCTCCAAGCCCAGGCCCATGGAATAGGCCCATTACAAAATAAATATATATATATTTTTTTTTTTAAACACTACTCTTAGGTTTGCCACCTGACTGGTATTTTAAGGCACAGCCGGTATGTGAGGCTGCCTGGCCGTGACGGTATTGAGGTAATAATACCAGCAATACAAATGCAAATATTTTTCTCAGTATAAACCAGTGGTAGTCAACCTTTTTCTAACTACCGCCCACTAATGCATCTTTCTTGATGGAAAAAATTTCCTTACCGCCCACCAGTTTGCACGCAAGTGCGGAATATTTTTTAGAAAGGAGGGTGCTTTTAAAAAAAAAAAAAAAAAATGTACGTACATTTATCTTTTTATTTCTACTTAATGCATGTTTATAATGTTTTTAACTTTATAAAGTTTAATGAGAAAACAATAAAGTAAATTGAAATTACCTTTACTAGTTATTAATGAGATCCTTGAGGTTGATGCTGCGAGACTAAATATTTGATATCTGGTTCGATTTTCGTAAGGAACAAACAAAGGTCTCCTCTTTCAGTGATATTCAGACCACTTCTCTGTTTGCTCATAATATGATTTCTCATCTGTGCGTCAGCTCCCCTCCTCTCCCTCCTCAATTCCCCTCCCCACCTTTTTTCTCCTTTTTTCTATTTTTTTAACCTTCCTTATAGCAAAGTCAAGTAGGAAGGCTGAGCTAGGTAGCCCACTTAATATAGCCCACTATAACAGACAGGCACACATACATACATACATACACACATACAAAGATACAGACAGACAAGACACATACACACACAACACATACATACAAAGGCACACACACACACACAAGACATACAGACACACATACAAAGGCATACACACACACACATACAAAGGCATACACACACACATGACATACATACATACATAGGCATACACACACACATACAAAGGCATACACACACACACGACATACATACATACAAAGACACACACACACACACGACATACATACATACAAAGACACACACACACACACACGACATACATACAAAGACACACACACACAACATACATACAAAGACAAGACACATACATACACAGACTGACACACACGACATACAGACACACACACAGACACACACACACAAAGACACACACAAAGACAAGACAAATACATACACACATATACAGACTGACACACACACACAACATACAAAGACACATACACAAGACACACATACATACACATACAAAAACACACAAGACATACATACACAAGACATACATACATACACACACACACACACACAAGACATACATACAAAGAAACATACACACAAACAAACACACACAAAATATTTAAATCACCCTCCTGTTTCCTATCTTTTAGGTGCAGGAGGGTGACTTTCCTTGGGGTCCAGTTGTGGCTCAGGTGGATGGGAGTCAGAGTTCCTACTCTGACTCCCTGGTCTTCCTCCCGCGCGGTCTGTGTGTTAGCTGGGAGGAGTGACGTGCAGTCACTTCCTCCCAGCGTGTGATGTAATCACAGGGGGCCCGGTCGCACTGTTAAAGCGCCCAGCGCTGACCGGGCCCCCTTACAATCCACATCCATCGGGTGGCCCTGACAGCATGGGCCACCCGATAGAACCCTTGGACGGCGGCCCCGGCGGTTTGCCGCGCGGGCCGGGGCCGCAAATGATGATGGCGGTACCCGGTCACATAGTTACCGCTGGCTCGCACTCGCCCGCCCAATCTCTCAAAATGAGGAAATCCCTACCGCCCACCTGGAATCCTGAAACGCCCACTAGTGGGCGGTAGGGACCTGGTTACCGACCCATGGTATAAACAGAAATTACTCTGCAATACCAGCACCAGCCAGTAGGGGTCACTGTGTATGGAGAGAGGCAGGGATAGGAAGTTACAGCATATCCCTGCCTCTCTCTACTCACTGATCCGTGGGGGAGCAGCTACACAGCACAGAGAGTCCAGACAGCAGCTCTTAGCCTGCAGAGACAGACTACAGCTCAGGTATGTGAAGGATGGGGGGGGGGAATGCAGCAGGGAGACATGTGGACACTGAGACACTAGGGGACACATCGGGATACTGGGAGACATGGGGACACAGACATGGGGACACTGTGAGACATAGGTAGACAAATTGGGACACAGACACTAGGTACACAGTGTCCCCGTGGCTCCTAGTGTCCCTTAGTCTCCCAGTGTCTGTGTCCCTATATCTCTCAGTATCCCCATGTCTCCCAGTGTCCTCAAATGTCTGTGTCCCCATGTCTCCCAGCCAATGTCCCTAGTGTCAGTGTCCCCATGTCTCCCAGTGTCTGTGACCCCATGTCTCCCAGTGTCTGTGACCCCATGTCTCCCAGTGTCTGTGACCCCATGTCTCCCAGTGTCTGTGACCCCATGTCTCCCAGTGTCTGTGACCTCATGTCTCCCAGTGTCTGTGACCCCATGTCTGTGTCCCTAGTGTCCCCATGTCTCCCAGTGTCCCCATGTCTATGTCCACAAGTGAACCCATGTCTCCCAGTGTCGGTGTCCCCATGCCTCCCAGCCAGTGTCCCTAGTGTTTCAGTGTCCCCATGTCTCAGTGTCCCGAGTGTCTTAGTGTCCCCAAATATGTGTCCCCATGTCTGTTTCCCCATGTCTGTGTCCCTAGAGTCTGTGACCCCATTTCTCCCAGTGTCCCCAAATGTCTGTCTCCATGTTTCCCAGTGTCTCCATGTCTCTCAGTGTCCCCATGTCTGTATCCACAAGTGCCTCCATGTCTCCCAGTGTCCCCAAGTGTCTCATTGTCCCCGGGTTTCTCAGTCTCCCCTAGTATCACGGGACACACAGACATGGGGACACTGTGAGAAATGGGCACACAGACACTGGGAGACTAGGGGACACAGATACATATGGACACTGATGCCAGACTGGCCTGCCAATTCTTTGGACAGACATGCCCCCTTTTTGGGCATGTTCGCCCCTTTTGGCAGGTCTGGTAACGTGATTCGCATCAGTGGCCCACCCTTTTACCCCGTCCATTGACTTCCTGCTTCTCTAGACACTGCTGTTAGAGGATATGGATTTACTTGAAAGATGAAAGCATAAATTAGATAAAGAGATTAGAATGGAGTAGGTGTTTTTTTATAGCTGCATCCTTTAAGTTTCCCTCTAACACCAACTCTATCTGATACATGACGCTTGAGAGGTATGACTGTTTTAGTGTTTTTGGTTGATAAGATTCTGTAATTCCATCACATGTTCAGCACCAGGCCCACTGGGCTCTTAAGCTGGCTCTGATGAAGGATCACATGAAATAGGTTAAGTTATAAGTGATTTCCAATGTTTTATTCAATAAATCATTTGAAATGAGCCTTCCTCTTTAGAAAGGGAAACTATGCATAACAAAACTACTTCTGTCAATAAAATGACCTCATCCTGGGGACCAACTTTCACTTTTCACTGAAATATACAAATGGTAAAAGATTCACCCAATACCTCGGATAACATTTCCATAGTTAATACATCTGTTTAGGCCGAGGTCGTTGTCACAATATAGGATCAGCTATTATAAGCAATCGGTGGGGCAATGTTATTTAAAACTAAAACAGTTATTTTTTATTGCACTAGAAATAAGTGGCCTGTGTGAGAAACCTTATTATTGAATGCATATAAAACGACCTTGTTATATTTTGTACATGGTTTGTTGGATCAAAATTGAATTTTTGGGGGCGGAGCCTGACATCAGAGCAGACCAGAAGTGTTCAGCTTGAGCTCCCATCTGCATTATCATTATTAAGGCTATTACTCCGGTTCTCAAGCCACAAACAACTCCAAAGTGCACTACCCACGTCGGGTGTGGACGAGAGACCCGATCTGAGAACTCAACCGAGTCATAGAGCCATCGGTAGCATGCAAAATCTTGTTGAGGCCTATTAGGGACGGAGCTGGGGAGAGGCAGCTGCTCCGCTCACACCTATACTCTGTGCGGCAGTACTGATCTCCTACCCCCTCTCCCCATTGGACCTGCAGGGGTTATCCCGGTCCCCACTGGACTGCTACCAACCAACGCAGCAGCACTACTTTTGGCGCAAACCTCTTCAGCTCAAAATGGCGGATGTCCTTACTCTGAGCACTCGAGAGCTAAGCCTAACACACCCGACTCTACACGACTACATTGATCACTGCTTACTGCAGCTGGAGGAAATTTTCAAGTGTTTCTGGGCACGGCTGCAAGAGCATGGTATTACCAACACTTTCAAAGCCCCAGAAGAAAACTGGAGGCTGCAAGATGCGAATTACCTCTCTACAGCGTTCTCGTGGGAAGAAACACAGCTGCCGAGGGCGGCACCTTACTCCCAGTCCCTCATGCTATACCTAGAGGATGAAGGCAATTGAGTGCCATCATATAACAGGGATGTTGAGGTCTGCTCATGCGGAGACCTGGAGTAGAATGGGCGTGCAGCCCTGGAGTTGGTTTGCAGCCAGGCACGGAGAATGTCCGGACACCACCCTGCCCTTACCACTCAGGGGAGTCGGCTGATCCTGGTCACCTGCAAGGACGGACTCCGTTTGTTTTACCTATATTTACATTTTTCTGTTGACATTTTTGATGTGCCTGTTCATGTTGTTGTGGCATGGCAAGCTTGTTTGTACTCTTCAACTCCTCTGCACAGAAAAAATAAAGAATTTAAAAAAAAAATAATAATTGAATTTTGAAATGTAGCCAAAATTCTCTTTGGAGCATGAGGTTTCTTAGGAAAAAAACATCAGGGTATTTGGCTTAACCCTTTCTATAATATAATACTCTAGCCTCCATGACATGTGACACAGAAGGGCACCTCCATTGATTCAATGTTGATCCCAGCTGTCATACAGACTGCATTAGGATCACTTTATGCACTCTCCCATGGCTGTGTACACATGCACGTGCATCGGGTAATTTTTCTTCTGATAGCCTATTCATTCAGCAAAGTGATAAATGCTGGAGTATCCAAAGCCGTGACTGCAATAGCAGCATTTCTGTGAAAACACTGCTCAGAAATGAATAAACCCGTGCAGTCAACCAGATCATGATTTTCTTTGCTACACAGGAATAACAAGAAATTAGCTTGACCTGTGTAAAGTCAATAATGGAATGTTGAAAACACAGTGACGATATCAGAATGGTCATACAGTTTCACAAGGTGCTCACACATTATATACGATCACCTCTGGTCCAGCTGGCTACCATACAAATATTAAAATGGTATAAGGCACAGAAAGAGCTAAGCATTAAACTAGTAGAATCCCCCGGCAGAGAATAAATTTAGTCACTGACCAAGGCCTAGTTTTAAAATAGCTTTGAAAATGGCCTGGAGCTACAGACAAAATCAACATCAAGACTCAGAGTGACAAAAGGGATCTGTCAAGCTCATCGCAGAAAGACAATGTTTAACTGCAGGAGGATACAGACAAGCTTCCAGACTTCATTCACCACAGGGTCCCACCAGCAATACAGAGGTTAAGGCCTGGAGGCCATACAGTGTCTAAATTATTAGCTAAAAGGTCAAAAAACATAGAATAAAACTAAAATTTAAAATGCAGTTACACTTATCCATAACATCTACCATATTAGCTCAGATTAGACAGAAAGCCAAATTCATGTCAGCTCCTTGCTGTAATAGAAAATTTTAGCCATCCTTTTATTCTAAGTAATGCTTCTGTTTAGAAAAGACAAATCAAATAAATATTGCAGTGTCAAAAGGTGAAGAGAGAGGACTTATAACATATTGTCACATGTAATCATTCAGAAAATATTTTGTACTTTTATTCTACAGAAATTTGATTTGGGGATTTTCTGTAGATAAATTTGGATCACCTTACCGGACACCTCTATTATTGTAATCAACTCGACACACAAATGAATATTCTGCCGCTTATTAAACCTGCCCAATTCACTCAAGCCCTGATCCATTC